CTGCTGCTCCAGGAGCCGTGCGGGAAGCTTTTACAACCTCATAGGAGGATAGGAGTTAAATACCCTGCTGTTTTTATTTCATTCCTCTAATTTACAGGTGTTTTATGGCTATAAACAACCTCGGATCAATAAGAGTGTCATGAAAGCTCAAAAGGTGTCTTTAATCACTTTCTCTTGGATCTGGCAGAGAATTTGACTCTGCTACCAGTAAGGCCTATTTCACTCAGCAGGCGGTCTCCCATCCTCTTGCCTCTAACCAGAGCTGTTCAGAGGAGTTCCATCCAGAGTCCTTTCCCTCAGAGCCCCCAGCTGCTGGTCCTGGCTTGGCTGAGTATTTCCTAACACATAACACCCCTGGGATGCACAGCCAGAGGAAAGCGAGATCACAGTGTGAAGAGGAGAGGTTCGTCAACCACATCTGAGCGCACCAGACCTACCGCAGCTTGGACTTTCATCAGCGAGCCCAGAGCAGGGGCTAGACGTGGCACAGCAGTAAAATGTGATGCCATGTGAGGCTAATCCACATAGGAAGGTTCTAGGTTCACATCCAGAGACCTCCCTAGGTTCAGGGACATGTGTGTGTCCAGGATCTGATCTGGGACTGTTTAAAGCTGGGAGTGTATTGTGACATTAAGACTCTGACCCTATTGGGGTGCTCTCTCTCTGTCTCTCACACTCACAGAAGAAATAAATAAATATACTATACACACACACACACACACACACACACACACACACACACACATAATAATTTTTGTAAGTATAAGCCCAGTAATACCATTCTATAAATAGGAACTACCTATGACACAAGGGGCATAGCAGTATAGTATTAAGTACCACAAAGAAATAAAAATGATCCACTAGGTATCATGGTTCTTCTCCTCAGCCCTGTACACCAACCAGGAAAGCAAAATATGTGGAGAAACTTACTGTCTTCAAACTAATGGACTTGGCCCTAACCTGTCTAATTGCTACCTCTCTGAATATCCTACTCTTCTCCCAGGAAATGCCATGAACTATACACACTCCTTCTCCCAGGAAATGCCATGAACTATACCCACTCTTTCTCAAACAAGCTTTGTCCTTTCTTTCCTCTTTGTATTAGTTTTCTGCAGATGCTGCAATAAATCAGCACAGATTTGGTAGCTTAAAGCAACAGAAATGTGTTCTCTCAGAGTCTGGAGGCTGGAAGTTCGAAATCAGTGAGACCAGATCAAAATCAAGGTACTGACAGATCTGTGCTCCCTGTAGAAGCCCTAGGGAGTCTCTGACAACTGCTGGTGGCTACCAGCATTCCTTGACTGCTTGCCGCATTGTTCCAATTTCTGCCTTCTCCTTTTCTGTCTGTAATCACCTCTGTCTCTCTTAAAAGATCATTTGGGTTCACTTTACAGACCGCCTGAATAATACAGGATAATCTGCCCATCTAAAGATCTTTAACTTAATCATGTCTTCAAAGACATTTTTCCAAGATAGCATTTACGAGTTCCAAGGATTAGGACCTGATACCTTTGGGGGCTATTTTTCAGATTACTACACCATCCCCTCCAGCACCTCCACCTGAAACAAGTACCCATGCTCAAATCCTATCCACCCTTCAAGGCCAAGTCAGGGGCCATGTGTCCCACAGAAATGTCTTTGCTCACCATAGCCAAATTATCATTCTGCTGACTGTTCGGCAGGTCATTTGTTCCTTCACTTGATTTCTAACACACTCCTTTAGAAATATCATGATTGGCATTAAAATCAGGACGTCTCCTCTGAGCTGTAAGCTCCTCCTACGCTTCTTTCATCTTTGTACATTCCCCACCCACCTTCACGGGAGACCCTAGATAGACAGTTGATGAGTCTGAATAGATAAGGATCATATACTAGTAGTAAATTGGTTATCAATATTAATTTAGCACGCGGAATGCTTTCTTGTGAATAAATGCGGGCTCCAGCAGAGAGAAGACCAGCCTGTGAGCAGCAACCCTAGGCTCTCAGCCAGACAGACCAGCTAATTAGGTCCGCAGCCAAGCCCAGAGGCCTCAGTTTGCTCATGTGTAAAATGAGTTGGGTTGGCCGTGAGGACCCCTAAGGTTCCTACAGCCTTCCTTTCTGTGATTCCATAGACATCATTGAAGTGTTTAAGAGAACAGGAAGCCTGCATTCTCTTATATATCCTATTAATCTGCTGTTCCAACTTACCTCTTTCTTTCCCTCCATGGGATAGAAACAAATTCCAGTCCAGTCTAAATTCTGAATCGAGAAGTCTGTGTGCATTGTTAGGCTTTTTCCATCAATGAAACATGCGTAAGATTACCCACAGCAGCCATATGTCTTCCTATCAAGTGCCACATGGCCTGAAGAGAGCATAGAGCTGCCACTCAGCTTGGGGTCACAGCACATAAGGACTCAAGGACACTGGATTGAAGACCATAGCCTCATGCAGCCTGAGCCTGGATCCCTAGATCCAAAGATAGTAAGATGCAGAGGCTGAGGTTTTCTTTTGTTTTGTTTGTTCATCTTTTTTTAAACATTTCTTTCTTTCTTCCATGAGTGAGAGAGACAGGGAAAGACACACACACACACACACACACACACACACACACACACACACAGACAGCACTCCCCAAAAGAGTCTCGATGCCACAACCCACCGCTAGCATCAGCCAGCCCTAGATCATGGACATACACTGCCCAATGTACGTAGGGAAGCCTCTGGATGTGATTCCAGATCCTTTCCAGGTGGGCCAGCATCCTCAAGCATCACATGTTCCCACTGCATCACCATCCAGGCCTCTGGAGATGGGATTTCTGGGAGTGGGAGTTGACCCACAAGGCAGCCAGTCCCAACTTTGCCTTGAGCCAGGCTTGCCCCTTAGATTTAATTTCCTCCCTTCTGAAAAATTGGTTAGGCTGGATCTCCTACCAGCCTCTCTAGTAGGGTTTTGCCCTGGGGCTGGCACATTCCATGCAACAGCAGAAAAAGTCAGATGATGATAGGGTCACAGCTGTGGTCACTGGATGACCAGCTGCAGGCCCAGCATTGGCCCTCCTTCTCTGGACTGCACCTTCCCAAGGCATCATCTCCATTTCCCATCCCTTCTGACTCAGTCCTGAACTCTGTACTGCTGACGTGGCCAAACAGGGTGGTCCCCTTCTGTTTGCAGGGTCCGGCCTGTTCCTGTGGTCTCCTTGTAAGCCCTAGCTCCTACCAAAGAACTTCAGCCTGTCTCCTCACACTGTGCACCCCAGAGGGGCCTAGGTGATTGCTGTTTGAGAACTTGGCTTGGAGAAGAGGCCTTGGCCACTGCAGCTTCTGACCCTCACTAGGCTGCCTGGGCTCCCAGAGCTGCCTCAGCCTTGGCCTACTGAATTTGGCAAGTCAGACCTTAGACAAGGATCACTCCAGAACTACCCTGCCATGAAGAGTCCTGCTCCTTCAAAGCCTTGAACACCATAGTTTACTGATCTGCAGTCCATAGCCAGGCTGGCCCTCCTCCAGCCCAGCCCAGCCTAGGGCAGGGCAGGCTCATATCAGCTCAGCATTCTGTTTTCTGTGGCCCATGGCTAAATAAGACAAAGCTGTCCTCTGCTTGCATAGAGTGTCTGCTCCTTGTTCTCGGAGAATTTGTGTGTGTGTGTGTGTGTGTGTGTGTGTGTGTGTGTGTGTACATGTGCATATGTGTGCATGCATGCATGTTTGCCAAAGCAGATAAACATACTAACTCTATTTACATTCTAAACACCAGAAAGAGGGGATAAAAGTACAAAACTAAAAATCCACAATGGGAGCCTGTGGGGACCTAATCTTTATAAAGTAAGGAAAGCACAGGCAGATCAGCGGCTAATGAGAAGGAAATGGGTCTTGCAGTCTGGGAGAGACATGTCATGTGTGATTTTATTTTTAATAGCAGAACAGGGTGTGAGAAACATGCCCATAAAACTAGCAGAGACACTGGAACAGGCAGACCCCTCTGCCTCTGCCTGCAGGAGGCCTGCTCACAGTGCAAAGGATTCTGGCTACTTTCCATCCTTAGGAAGTGGGGACCATGGATCAAGTTTTTAGGAATAACTGGGCAACGCTGTGTGCTTTTCACTGGAATTTAGCCCCTGATTGGGTCAATGTCCCTGTGCTTCACAGTTACAAGAGCATGCTAAGCTTTTGGTCTTTAATTCGGTTTCGCTCCTCAACCTCGCTCAACACACACGCACATTAGGCACTAGTATGGTAAACCTACCAACTCCAAGATGCCTGTGGGGCCACAGAAGAGTGTCTGTAGTGGTGAAAGGAACCTGTCCAACTGCCATTGTGTGGCATGAAAGGAGACAAGATGAGACGTGTCTCCTAAAAGAAGGAATCTAGTCTCTGTATAGGGGATTGCCAGAATCAAATCTGCACAGGGATCCCACAGGGGCCTGGGCCTCTTCCTCCCTGTAGTGACACAGATGGTCTCAAGCCAAGCAAGGATCTGGT